ACTTAAACAATTAATTGCTGAGCATATAGGCCCTGCTGTGGTCAGTACTCTTGAGCTGGAACTCTTCCTCCCTCTCAAGTGGGCTTATGACAAGCCCTTATCCAAGCTAAGTAGCACAGGTTGTTCTGGTGGCCAGGGATGGACTTGGAAGAAAGCAGGCTGCCAAAAAGTTGACCTTGAAGAAACAGGATGAGGCCATTGCAGATCAATGAGATGAACTGTGGAAATCCCATGTGGTAGGGTACACACACCTGCAGGATCCCTGGATCCATCCTCTGCTGCTTCTTTCCCTACCTCTTTGTTTTTGTTCTGCAAAGTAAACCACCTCCAATTTTGATTAGAGGAAGGTGTCTATCATGCACACTTTGCAATGGCTATAGAGTTCAAGATAAATAAAAAGCCAAGGGAAGAGTGTGATGATATGAAATACTCTAGTTTTCTGAAACAGTGTGACCACAGATTAATTTTACTTTCACATCAAATAACCTGCATTTTGATTTTATGCCTTTGTGTACAGGTGCAAGCATGTGCATGTTGTAGCGTATACGGGGTCAAATTAATCATAGGTCCAATCCATTTCTCAGTGGTATTGTCCTGAGAATGAGCTTTGTGCACAGTATGTAGCAAAACACCAGCTATATGTATGTGTTTCAAAAACAACTGGAACAAGCAAGCGCAGATATTGGTGACTCTAGATCTTACTGATTTTAGTGTCCATGCTGTGTGACTGCATACTTAATTGTGGAACTACTGATTTGGAGACAATCATCCAAATGACTTGTTTGAATATTGAAAATGAAACCATTATGGGATACATTACCTTTATTTACCCTTTGCTGTTTGGATCCAATTTTTACCTCTGATGATCAATACCAGTTATGGTTGCTTTAATAAGCTCAGGGGAAAGGAGCTCTAAATGTACTATTTATCAAGTTGATACTTTTCCTTTAATAAGTTTTCCTGTTACATTGCAAATCTTATACAGCTCACTGGATTTACCCTTTTTCAATTAGCAATCAAAACTCTCCATATACATGAGTGTTGCGAATCAATACCCACTGAGCCAATTGCTCTTTATAGTGATAAGAATAAAATAACTGGGAGTTTATTTCAAAAAATTGATATGCAATTGGAAAAGGCACATGGCTTTAGACTAGCTATCAGTCCATGTGCTGATAAAACTTGGGTAAGCCATTCTGAAGGGTTTTGGTGCTGAACCACACCACTGCATGTCTCAGAAGGACATACGGGAGCACACTGAAAGGAACTGTCACCATCTTCATGCAACAAGATTTGTTGCAGCCCTCAATTGTTCCTGAGACCCTGATGCAACTGTCACTACACATCTTCTATGGACAAAACTCAGCAAGGCTTCCCTTTCTGAAATGTGTCAAGTTCATGTGTGCTGAAGAAATATTGAGAAAATTTCCAAAAAGCATATATTTATTTCAGCATCTTGTTTTCCAGATGATAGTTAAAACAGGATTTTAAACAGTTAAAACAGCATTTCCATCTTTATAGTCAAAGTCTGTGTTCTTCAGTCCTATTTGTCTGACTAAGAAGTATCCTATTTTTTCCAGCCTACTCATCAGAGAGCAGCAATCCATTTCTCTGAAAGGTTTGAATCTTGTCCTGTCTATTGCCTAGGGCTTGCTTATATTAAATGTTTCATTATGTTTGATTAACTCTCTCTATAATGACTAATGGCAAAACAGAGTGATCACCTACCTGCTTTTCAGAGTAGGAATATAATGGATAGTCCTGGGAGTTAATAAAACTGCTACGCCTGATATCAGCTGGTCAAGCAGACCATTATATCTTCAACTCGCCTTGTACTTTTATCACACAGAATAAGACAAATCATGTAAGGCTTGTGAATTTCTTGGCCAGGTCTGTTGATGATTTAACTCTTGCCAGTGAACTCCCTAACTTTCTCTGGATTCAGAGCTATTAAAGAGAAGTAAACACATGGGTGTTCAAAGGCTTTCTCTTCCCTCTGCGGCTCTTCCCATGTTGTTCCTAACTGGAGATGAAAAGGAGAGGGCAAAGATTGCTCTGTCCCAACAGGCATTCCAACTAATGAAATAATTATCTTACAATGTGGTTTAGTATGGGGTAATTGTAAAAGAAAGCTTCTTGGCAGTGTTTCTCAGGGCAGGCAGCTTCCGTGATGTTTCCAGTCCTTCACCCAGGGAGAAGTTCAGCAGGAGGGATGGGATTATGAAACACAGCATGTTTTGGAAGTCCCGTCACTGGGTTTTGCACAGGGTGGTGCTAGTGTGTGTTTTTCAAGCCTTTAGTTTCTCACTCAAGTTTGTGAAGACTCGAGGAGCATCTAGTGCTCCATCTTCTTCAGTAGGTAAAGATTCATTAAAATGCTTAGCCTGTATCATATATAATATCCCCAAATCCAGTAACATTTTGACAGTCTCTCAATGGATGCCTCAGACAGAGATTGAGCTATTCCTTTGTATGCTTTAAAAAGTGAGTTGCTTCAGAGCAAGGTAGAGAATTGATGGCTAGGCTGCACAGGGTAGCCCATGCTAACTCTGGCAGCACATCACATAGGTCCTCTTGGGACTGGCAGTCTAAAAGCTGATGGTCTTCAGGAACAATAACATCAAATTGTAAAGAATGGATTAGGAGGCAGCCCAAATGTCACTTGACTGTTCAATCAGACCCATGTACTTATACTCTCTTTGATGTAATCAATGGTTGCCTTTGGACAGATTTCTGAGTTTTAGGTAACAGGAGAGATTTAGTGGGGAGAGAATGTCCTGATCTTCATGAAGACACACATATAAGGATGAAGAATGAATTGAGCAGGGACAAGTTTGCTGTCAGTTTATGAATTCTGAAAGGCTCATAAATCACAGAACCACAAGCCAGGCAAACAGTTTATTAGACATGCAACCCCATTAAACTGTGCTATAAAAGCATAGCATACTTGGGCAAAATGTTTTATCACTTGTCCTGAAGAAGCTGAGAGAAATATGCTTTGCAACTCCAGAGAAAGAATTTTCCCTTAAAAGTAGAAGACTATAATCACAGAGGGAGGAAATATTAATCCATCGGGAACTCAGGGTCCCAGATTTACTCATGTATTTGAAAAATAGGAGTGGTGTTGAAGTAAAAATTAACAGGTCTGCAGAAAGCTTGGCCCTGATTAGTCTATCTGTTCAGCACTACCTCAATACACTGCTTTGTAAGAGGAAAACAAAACAAAAAAAAAAGAAAATCAGTAAGTTAACATGCATGGTGGAGATAAATGGTCTTTATAGAAATTAATTTAGTGTAATTGTTCAGACACTTTTTCCAGCACAACTCCAAACACAATCACTCTTAAGCTAGTGCTGTCAAGTAACTGAAAGTGCAATGGTTTCCAAAAGGAACTAAATTATTTACACTGTTGGACTTTTCTGGTTTTCCTGAGGTTTGTCTGCTTGTCAGTTGGCCCATCTGTCCAAAGGTCTGTCAGACCTCTGTGCCATGGCAACATTTGAGTTACTCTCCAGTTCTAAAGTAAGTCTCCAAGATGCTTAATTCCTACAGTTATTAAAAACATAGGCTTTTTGAAACAGTGCCCCAGAAAAGGCTCAGTTTGTCTGCACAGGACTTTGTCAATACTATCAGTCTCACATATCTTTGTGGAAGAGGCTTTGTTTGGGGGGATCAGCCAGCTGCAACTGCAGTGGAGTGAGGGTGCTGCTCCTTGCCCAGCCCCATCTGTGGCTTATCCCACAGTGCTGCTGGTCAGAGCCCTGAGCTCCCGGGGGCAGCCAGGAGCACTGGGATGAGGGCTTTGGCTGTTTGGGTGTTTGCAGGTAGAGTGGATGGCTGCTGGATGTGATTGGCAAGCCAACCAACTGCTTATTTTTGGCATTAACAGTTCTAATAGATGATACCGTCATATTGTCCATCCGAAGACATCCATTAAAAAAAAAGGAATTACGTATCTATAATAGCAAAAAATCCAGCTTGTAAGATGCAATTGACCTGCATGGGATAGGGAAAAAGGGAGCAGGTGTCCAGTCTCCAGCATTGTGGCATAAGCCAGAACCAGAATGTTTTGTGCTGTGAAGAAATCACTCAAAGCAGTGGGTGCAATTCCCTATTAGGGGATTACATCTCTCTGCAGCATCTGATATGTTTATTTTGAAATCAAAATGCAACATTAGATGGGTCATTAAACTTCTGCAGTGTGACTGTTCCTGTCCCTCAGCTTCCTGTATATCTGCTCCATTAATGGGTTTCAAATCTTCTGGTCATAACTGCAGGGAGTAGTGTACTATATTTAGTGAAGCAAGTTCTCAGAGCCTGAAAATGTAGCTTTTTAAACAAAGAAGCTATTCTTTAACCCTCTTTTTTTTTTTTTTTTTTTTTTGAGTTACAAAAGCTTTTCTTTATAAAGACCTGGAGCCATTCTGAGATGAGAAAGTGTTAGTTGGTACATTAAGAAAAAAAATCACAATTTCTTCTGCATGTGTGTTTTTCTGCAAAGAAAAAAGATCCATCACTAATGAGTAATGAAAGATGAACCTGAAATGAATCAGCACATTGCTAGTGAAGATCCAGATGGGCCGGAAGACCTGTTTAACGTACCAGCAATAAAAGTACCCATTGTCTCTACACTCCAATATTGACATAATTTCCTTTAGTCTTTCAGGTCCTGGAAATGACAGCATAAAAGTAAATATTTAACTCTGAATTTATATAGGAGTTCCCTGTCCTGATCAGGTTCTGCTGCCTTCTCTTTCTCCAGATTTTGTAAGGGTTTCTCGGATGCCACTGTCATTACTGAAGAGCCCCCAAGGAAATGCTAGCCCCCATGTCAGCACAGTCATCCCTTCAATCAATGTTCAGCACAGTGAGAGAGTTATACCACTTATTTAGACTTCTAAAAGTGAACTCAGTTTTAGATGGTCATTGATTACACCCATGCTGTCACCATATCTTTCCAGTCCCACCAGCATAACAGCTGAGGGTCTGTACATGATGGTCCAGCTCAGGAGAGAACCAGGAGAGCTGAGCTGGACTGAGGGTTCAGAGTTGCAGTCAGAGCATTTGCTGTCAGCAGTCAGGCCATTCAACAGGGCTGCTAGATTTTTATGACAAGACCATGTAAAAGCCCTGGATCATTGTTCAGACAGGGAAGTTGGCCAATTTATCAGGTAAGCACGGTGCTCAGATGCAGCGCTGCAGGAAAACAGTGAGGCAAACCAAGGTAGGCATCGATCCCACACAGTTCTTCTGGTAGTAAGGAACTGGCAAAAGGTGTCCCAACGTGAAGAGAAGATCGTGCTTGTTTTTCCTTCTCTTTCCAAATGAAATAGTGAGAAATTTATGCTTTGGTCAACCACAATCCCATTCTCTGACCAAAACAGTGACCCTGGTCACTGCTAATGCCAAAGACCTATACAAAATCGTAACTTGCAATCTAGTAGGAATGTTCTGAACATATAATTCAATGATTACACCAATTCAATATCAGTAAAAGTACTAAAATCTGATTTCAAATTCAGTCCTTAAAAAACAAAAGATACTTCTGAGAAAAACTGATCTGAAAATCTATTCTTTGAATTTATCCAAAATGCTAAATAAACAGCAAACCCCCACATTTTCTACATATTATGCTTTTCAAAATAAGAACAGGTTCAACAAATGGGTAAATGAGACCGGGGGGTTGCTTTTTAACAGGTGACAGCTGAAGTCTGCAGAGGTTCAGTCTACTATATTATGGTCAGAGAAAGTTTCAGAATAATTATGCTTGGCATGTTTTTACTTTAACAAAACTGGTAAAGTTTATCTGCTTTGCTGCAACAGTGCTTCTGTTCAGCTTTTTTTCTTGAGACACTAAAATGTACAGGATAGCGAATAAAAATATTTCATTCGTTTTACTGGTATTCAAACCAGAATTTTGTCATAAATGTGTACAAGCCTTATTTTGCTATAGTGTTCATACAAATGTTTACAAAAGTACATTTTAGGATCTCAAAAAAAGTTTCTTTACCTTCTACAGATCTTGTCTTTCAAAAAAAAAAAAATTAAAAACAAGGGATTAGAATTGTGTATGCAACCCAGAGCTTCAATTTTCTTCTCTTGAAACTGAAAACTGGTAGAAAATATACCTTAAATAAATAACTTTGCAATTTCAAACATTAAATTTCATATGTAGTGATAGGCAAACCACTGGACACATAAGACAGTGAATTGTGACTATGCAGTGCTGAAAGAAATATATACAGAAAGTAACTTGTGAGCTATTCAAATTTTGTAAAACATTAAACCTATTTGTAAAAGTGAATACTTCTCATTACAGTTTGTACTTAGTACTCACAAAAAGGATCAAAAAGCTAAATTAATAATTTTTGTGATTGTATTTTTGGCTAATATTTGGCTCTGTTACAGTAGGACTTTGAATCTCCGGCTATGAATCATCATCCATTTTATGAGGGACTGTTCAATAAAGGAAAATCAATCCTTGCTCAGAGTGCTTGGAAGTCTAAGTTTCTGAGAGCTGAGGTTACATTACACAAGGACTGGACAGAGAGATGGTGTTATAGGACTGAAAATGGGGTTTGAGAAAATGAGGAAACAACAAACGAACTATTTCTGTTTAAAGCAAGACTTTAGAAACAGGTATAACTGGAGGAGCTACAGTGAGTTACAGGTTAACTCATATGCATATATTAACCCAAGTATTGTCTGTAACAGGTCCTGAGGATGTTAAAAGTGCAGAGAAACATCTGAGATTGGGCTTATGTGGCCAACTGAAACCAAAGGTAATGTAAGAAGTTGTCCCCTGGGGAAGATGTATGAGGGCCTGGAGCAGATTTGTGTCTGCCTTGTGCTTCCTGGACACATTTAATTTACTAATTTAGACATGACTTTTGGTTCTTTCTGTGGATGCCTGTCTGAATTGAGCTGAGTAGTGACTGATGCTTTCCTGTGCATGTTTGGGATTGGGCACATCTTCCAGATCTGTCATTGCTTCTCCAGAGACTTTGCACATTTCTTCCCCAGTGCCTCATTCCTGTTACTGCACTGGGTAACTGGTAGGCTAATTTTCAGTCTCAGGAAAGTTTAAGCCTATCCACACAATAGATGAACCCAGACTGACAGAAGTTTCCTATTATCAAGTCAGCACGGCTGCTATGTGAGTCCTGAGAAATGAGGGACCATCCTCTTTTCCCGCCCAGACGGTGTCAATGACCTCTGTTCAATCAGAAATCTCTGACTATAATAGGCCATTGTACTAGTTGGCACCAGTCACACTACTGCCCACCCTACCAACATTACTACCTTTACACTGGTTGAGGAAAGCCCTCAGATGGTACCCACAGATGGTACCCACACCTCCTTCCTGTCAGAGACCCAACAGTCAACTTAGCAACAGCTTCAGGTGAAAAGGAAGAAAAATTGAGGAAGAAAAATATGTAGCCTACACGGGTGAGCCAGTAGAAAATAGCATATGCTTTAGGTGGCATGTGGGTGTCAGTGTTTGGGTCTTGTAGAAACATGCATGGCATATCATGGACATGATGGATCAATGTCCAAGAAAACATTATTAAACAAATCTGGTTACTCATGGAAAAAAGTGCATCTCTACACTCAGATAGTGCATAGGTTGTGTGGCAGCCAACCAGTTCTGTCATTCCAAGCTGTTTAGTATAGCAGTGTTGACTGAAGTCACCATCCCCTCCCCAGTATTACTTGAAGTGGGCATGAACATAAGCAGGAAGGAAAAAGAATAGAAAGGGTAGGAGGAAGGAGTGGGGACATCTCAAAACAACCCAAAAATTTAAGCAGAGGCAACTGGGAGAGCAAGGGATGACATGATACAAAAGCAAAGGATGACCTCAGAGAAGAGGCTACAGAAGATAAAATAAAAGGCGTACTTGGAAGAAATATGAGAAGACAACAAGGACACTTATTGATGAAGTCACACAGAGACCCAGAGGGGTGACAGAGGCAATCTGAGCACTACTTACATGAGGCCAGGCTGGAGAGAATGAAAGACCTGGCCTTAGAAGGTGAGGGATAAGAGTGAAGTGCACAAAAGTATCAGAGAGGTTAAAAAGCATATCTGGGTGGTAGGAGGAAGGTGGAGTCATTGGAGGACCTCTCATGATGGCAAATAGTAATGAGATGACAAAAACTAATAAATAACTGACTGGTATTTTTCTTTAGCTATTACTGGAGAAAAATAACTTACAATTAATTTTCAATCTCTTCTTTCATCTAATATACTCTATGTCTTTTACAAATTTTTAGTTGTGATGGGGAAACATTTGGGTTCAGCCAAAAATTTTTGCACTGAAACTTTGGACAGTTTTGGCCATTATTTTAATGACATACCTTGGAGAGTATTTGATGGTTCCCTTAAGTGTATTCATTATTTACTCAGTACATTTTCGTAGATCTATAATCAATATTCATACTCTAGTGCCAACAATGCCAAGATGGTATTGTGAGTCTTGTTATTAAGTGATTTGCATAACTCTTCAACTGAAGAGATCAGATGATTGTAAAATCTTTACCTTTCAGTAATAACCTGCAGTTCTCCCAGCTGCGGAACAAATTTTTAAAATTTTTAAAAAAGACATGTAAAAGGTTAGAAACAAGAATAAATTAGAATTCCAAATACATTGTTTGATGTATTTTGAGATTTGGAAGTCATTATTCAATATTTAACCCAATATTTAGCATGTAAAACAATACAGATTTTTAAATTTGCTATTGCACATATTTACACAGTGGATTTTACACCTTACCATCAGCGAATGTTAGTAGTCATAAAATTTAAGAGAAATAATCTCTATCTGAAAAGTAACTAAAGACGGTAAAACCAATTTGAGCAAAGGTCAGAATAATGTTCATAAGTGATCAAATAATCAAAATTCCTTAAAATGTTTGTTTAAAAGACATTTGAACTAAAATGTCATTCAAATACAGCAAAGGGGACTGTAACTGATGTAACTGGGTCACTCAGAAGTGAGAAAATCAGCTTGATGTAAAAATATTTGCAGTCAATTAAACAGGGAAACTGAGGGACAGGGTGGATGATGTACATGAGAGTAGGAAATAGAAATGAAATACTGAAAAATAAGACTGAACTTGAATCCCTGCTGCAGGCTCCACTGACATTTACAAATGCAGTCTCAACTGTCAATTTAAAACAGGAATAGATGAGTAAAATAATCCAGAGAAAAGGGCATCCATCAAGCACAGTCAGCCCAGCCACGTGAAGCTGGCTTTGCTGCTCTCCCAGTCCAGCTGGTGTGCTGTCTGCACGCACAGTCTGACTAATCTGTTGCCTGAGTGGGTTGCTGCTGCTTGTTAAGGCAATTCTTAAAATAATGGCTGACCTAATTATGTAGCATGGATCTTAAACATATATGATAACTGTTTACATGAAATGCATACTGGATATTTTGTAATAATTTCTTTTCACGTCTTATCCATCTTCCTGTCCTGAGTACAATTAAAGTGATGTGTACTTATGCTGCAAACTTTACAGCACAGATTTAGAAAGCAAAAAAATGTCAAACTGATAACATTTTACTAGTAGGCACTGAGGAGGCAGATAAAAGGGGAGGAATAGTGATAGTGTCCTTATCTGGCTTTAATAATTTCTCTGACATAGGGTTGAAAGTTTCTAGACAGCTTAAACTGTCAGTACAGTAATACTACCAACATGTTTTGATTGCTGTGTTCATCATATAGTCTGCTAAGTTTTAGATCAGAGTCATTAATTATTCAGATAATTATTGTGAAAGTGTTGGACATTGCATGGATTCTCTTGATACGGAGCCTATTTAGCATCTTTTCTACTACAGTGAAAAAGTAGCGTATTTTCCAGGTGAAATCAAGGGAGACAAACTACTTACTCACCATCTATAGATTAATAGATTGTGGGGTACTAGAAATGGATTTGCAGATGGGTGCTACCTATTTTCTCTGTACAGAAAAATGGTTCATAGGCTATAAGCAGTAGCTGTATGCTATTGTTACAGATGGTTTCTGCAGCTCTTGTTCTCTGCTGTCTTTATTGCAGCCACCTTGGATGTTCCTAGAAAAGCTGTAGTCACAACTTCAAGTGCACTGTAGACATGGTTAAATCAAGGTTTAGACTTCCCCTACTTATCTTTATCCTAGGCTCATGCTGGACAAGTTGTTGCACAGTTGTTTTTAAATGCTGCTGGAAAAGTAATGAATTTTCTTTAACATGACATCTTTTTTAGAGTGTTTGAATTTAAGGACACTTAAATGGGTTGCATCAGTATTTTAACAACGCAAGTTCAGATTTTAGTTTCTAAATAGTCATTTTCAACTAAAATTGAACAACTGATATTAAGAGATAGAAGAAAAGTAATTAAATATTACAGGGCAGTTTAATACTGTGAAAATTAACTAAGTTTGGTGAAATAGGATGCCTTGGATTTACCCAAACAATTTTTTCTTCTTTTAAAAGTCCTCTCAAAGTTTTATATTGCGTTACCATAAGACATTCATCTCTCAGATTTATTATTTATTTCAGCACTCAATTAGAAGACCAAAGACTTTATTTATCCAGGATAGTTCGCCTCTGATGTTCCCCAGGCTTTCTACCCTCCCTGACCCTATGTACTTTGACAAATCTGAGAAGATAACAGACTGACAAAGGTAAAATGATACAACTCGAATCTACAGTTAGCCATTAGTATTATAGACATTGTGATAGGCAACTAAGGTACACTGGGATCTATGCATAGACGAAACACAAGCAAAGTCTCTTGAGTATCATAGGCTCCTTGGTTTTGTCCTATATGACAAGTGACGAGTGCAGGGCCATGTTACACCCCCAAAAAGTAGAACTGTGAGAAAGCAGTGAAATTTGTGTATCATGCAAAAGAACTTGAGGATAAAGGCACTTCTACGAGTCAAAAAGAAGCAAAAAAAACCCCAGAACTCAACATAAACTTGTTCTGGGAGGAATGAATTTGTCTCACAGGTCTATGTTAGCATGTGTACAGCAGATCCCACCTATCAGCCAAGTCAGTGGTGAATCCCATGGGGGAGTCATGAGTGCTGTTCTGCAGCTCCAGTGCCTGCTGTGCCTGTGCACATGGCGGGATTAGATAGTTCCTCTGAGCTTCACAGGTAATTAATTCTCTGCTGGGGCCTTGGGGAATAATAAATTTGGTCCAGTGGTTTGATTGCAGGTAACAGAAATGGTCTAATTTCAGGTCACTCCCTGTGGTAGAAAATGGGGTCTTGTCCCTCAGATGATGATTGGATAACGTCCACATTGCATACACAAGATTGCCAAAGTGGGAGAGGAACATCAGGCTAGGATATAACTACTAAATGTTGCTGAACATCTTAAACAAGTACAAAAAATATCAAATAAGAAAGGTCATTCCTGGCTACTGATTTGACCTGTCTTCCAGTCTTATAAGCTGGACTGACTCTTCATTACCCTTTCATGAGGAGAGCCCTGGAAAGGAATGGAAACTAGAAGGCTTAGAATACACTTTCCTCAAAATTACAACAGATTAGTCCTCTTGAAGGCAACAGTTCCTAGCTTTTGTATGGTGAATATGTGTGATATGAAAGAACAGAGTTTTTATCCGGTTTATAACATAAGGCTTAAATGCCCTATTCCAGTGGTTCCAACTTTATACAATTTATAAATATACTCAGCATACTGTGCCTAAAAATAATCTGGGAACATGTGAATATATGCAAATAATTGCCCTCCCTTCACAAACATTATGCTGAAGAGAATTTAAATTGTAGT